CAAAATCTGCTAACAGATTGATTGGTGGTGTTGGTTTTTGATCCTTGCGTCCAAGCTTCGACAGCAAACCACTAATGGAAACATAGTTTATATCATGGCCTGCCCTCTTGGAATAGCAACCTGTCTGGCCATAACCTTAAAAATAAACCAGAAACAAATACTGTAGTTTTACTGTTCATTACTAAGATTGTCTAAATGAGCAATGTGTGGTTCCAGAAAATATTCATACCCACCCCAAGGAGGGTTTTCTACTTGCACTACTGGAACTGACTGATACATATTTAGATTAAGATGCAATTTGCGTAAATGTGAAGTTAACATGAGAGAAGTGAGGGAAGATGAAGCATAAGAGAGTGAATCCACCGTATAGGCCTTATTTCCTAAGCAGCTTAACACACATTTTCATCCTTGATGGGAACATCCGTGCACATGTCAAGCAGAAGAACTGGATACCATGGGTAAAAAAAAACTTGAGAGATTACTTTTAGAGTAAGGCCTATATCGAGGGTGGTAAAGGGTATTTTCGTGATTCGTGAATGACCTAATTTTTTGTCTCGTGAAATGTGAAATGGTTTGCTTTTTTCTCATGAATTGTGATTTCATTAGAAACTGTGAACCATGATTTGCCAAAATAATTCTCCGGGAAATGAGAAAGAAGTATTTGGTTGTGTCTTCTATTATTTTTGACAGTAATTAACAATATTGCATGACCATGACAGGACGATCATCCCTCTTCGTGTTCTTGCTCAGATTTCAGTTGTGCTGCACACAAAACAAGAAGAGGACAGATGACAAAGACATCTAACAAGGCTGTGCTTGGGCGTAACTTTCCAATATCATAAGTTATGTAAGTTTGGGTCAAAATATGCCATTTTGTTTTCGTGAAACGTGAAATGTCAATTATATTTCCCGAGAATTGTGAAAGGACCAATTTATTTTCCATGAAATGTGATCTTGACACCTCTCCCCCCCTTTACCCCCCTTTACCACCCTCTATATAGGGACTTAACTCATTACATCTCTTAACCTTAATCTTCTTTCAAAGAAGATTCAACATTGAAGAAGAATTCTCGATATCTTCCACCGACCCACTCCCCCACCCCCTCCCCCGACCATCCACGTCTGACACCCAGGACCCACTCCAACTTAAATAGTAAGCTTAACTACCTGTTAATCGAGCGTAAATTAATCTCGGATTCTCTTTCAATAGTATTTCCGGTCCTAAGCCCAGTCTTTCCAAGACTCCTGGTCTGAAAGGATCAATCAACACATCGGACTGAGAACAAAGCTTTCGAACGATGGCAACTCCCTGGGGATTCTGTAGGTCGACAGAGATGGATCTCTTTCCACGTGCAAGTTTATCGATAGTGGACATATTTTTCACTTTGTCTATTCGAGTAACTACTGCCCCAAAATCTGCCAGGATCATCCCACAAAACGGTGCAGGAGCCAGCCCCGCAAGTTCGATGACTCGAGTGCCCGCTAGAGCAGCCATCGTCGCCGCCATTTTGAATAGTATACCACACCGCTGACTTGATCAGACTGCTGGCGAACTACCTTACCAACCTTGTTCCCAGGGTCTCTCATCTTACCGTACCCCGGAGCTGTGTATTAAGTCATTTGCCATGTCACTCAAAGGTGTCTGTAAAGAAGAAACTTTTCTCCGTTTTACAACAGTGCTTTTTAGGCCATGGAGGACTACGGCAATTTGAAGACACCCATGGGTAACACTGAGTGCGTGCGGAAGCGTTCAGGCTGTACTCGCTCGTTAGGTACCAGAGACAAAAAAAATTAAAATACATAACGTTATTAAAAAGATGACAAAATGCTTGATTGGTTTTAATTCTCTGCACGTATTTCAAGGCTTGACGAATGCCCGGGACAAATGCGAGCAGCGCGATGTACAAGAGGCTCTACCCGGAGGGTCATGGGTGGTATGAAGCCGGAAAAACAAAAACTTTATTTTGGGTAAGCCAGGTAACCAAAGGGTTCTGCATTTAAAAACATAGGGTCAAATTAAATTAAGGAGCTAAAAATGTTTGAAAACGACTAAAAATAATTATGTTAAGGGAGATACCTTAGTATTTAGTTTAAGGTATGCCTAGTTCATTGTGACTTCTATGAAGTATGACTGGTGCCACAACCTTGCCTGCCTTGTTTAGCAACTGAGTACAAGATAGAAAGAAGTGATTTGCAACGCTGAATATCCATAACAGTTAAACTCGATCTTCTGGTCACTTATCATACTCACTTTATACTAATAAACTACATGAAGCAAATCTTGGTAGTAATCCTGATATTTTGGTTAAACAAAGGCAATTGTCTAAAAAATCCCTCTCAATTGTTAGTCATGGCATTGTTGTTCAACATGTTCAAGTACCAACCTGCACCGGTCTTACGCATGGCAAGCACGGTCAAGGTTACTCAAAAATTCGCAATGTGAACTGACTAAACACAGTAAACATACCATTTAGCAAAACTATCATTTAACTCTGACTAGAAGTACGAAACACCAAAGAAATGAACTTCGCAGTTCGTGACACCTTTATACATAACATATCTTACAAAAAATGTAACTTTTTAATGACCTAACTGAACTGAATCCTTAAAAACAGTTTGATGATTAGGCCGTGAGGTAAGGTGGGTTTGTTCAAGATATTTTGAAATGGCCTTTTAAATACCTAAAGGGCTGTCTACCTTATCCCTTTTTACATCATACTTACTTTCAAAATCCCTTGGCTGTTACACACCTCCAGCCTGAAAGAGGGACTACCCCATGCGGTTCTTAAGTGTCCCATAAAAAGTGAAGCCTTGGAACCGAATGGCTCACTGAGCTGCCGGAGCTTATCCCGGTTTCTGTAGCATGAAGCGGCTAGGAGTATTTCTACTCCCCCTAGATGGGATGCTAGCCCATCGCAGCTCCGGGGTGGAGAGAGGCACTATGAGAGTTAAGTGTCTTGCCCAAGAACATAACACAATGTCCCCGACCAGGGCTCGAACCCGGACCGCTCACTCCGGGAACGAGCGGACTAACTATGAGGCCACTGCGCCTCCCACTTGACAAGAAACAAGTGGGGTCACTCTCTATGAAGAACAGGACACATCTTCTACACACCAATTCTAAGAGACATAAGGACGCACGTAGTGCCACGATAAAGCCACTAGTGACCCGTTTATCTTAATGTATCTGATTTGTGAAGTAGCAGTGAACCATCGGATATCAGAAATGATTGAGAGTCTAAATATAAAAACAATTTTAATGCTCTTGAATTTGACTGTAGGGTGATCTGTCATGTGGTCCTCGCAAAATGACAAAATTTCACACCATGAGCTGTAAAAGTGGTGACAAACGCTTTTGAGCGATCAGTGTTTGCTTACTAAACGTTCCAAGTACAATGATTTGACTAAGGAATGGTTGGTATAAAAGGAAAGTGAAAACTATCGAGAGGTACTCGGCACTTAGGAGAAGTGATCCTAATGGGTTTGTTTCCCAAGAGGTTTAAAAGCATCTTGATGTTTTTTTTTTTTTTCGCTCCAAGATATCGTATCTCGAGCCCGGATCTCAAGTTATTTTCTATTCCGAGGAAAGAAAAATATTTGAGGATAAGACTTATTGTCAGATGCGAAAATGACGCGAGACCTGAAAATATCAAGGGGCAATGAAAAATATATCACCAAATACGAAAATATCTCGGAAAAAAATGTCCTTGAGATATACGTCCTTAGATGAATCCAGCCGGTTAACTCGGATCTCATCACCGGCCCGTCCGCTCCCCCGCCCCGTGGACCACTTTGTTCTTCCGAGCCCTGAATCTTTTGAAAGGATTCTTCCAGCCGTACGTTGGTTTAGGTCCATTCCTTGCTAACAATTGGTCTGAAAGTGGTAAGACAATCGTCAACGACTTTTCTCTCCGCAAGTTAAAGCAAGCGTAAAGAATGCATTGACTATCCACTGTTTACTATTGACACCTGACTGGCAACGAGTTTAAATCCCCAGATAAGAACCTTTCAAAATCGCTCTCTTGTTTGATTAGGTTTGTTTGCAAGTTAACATAAGGGAACATTTTTGTCATAACACAATCACTACCCAACGAAAATCACACCTTGATGAAGTATGTCCAAAAGATGCGGTTCCCCATTAAAAAGAAACTAGTAAAACGAAAACGGACTGTGTATGTAAAAACGTAAGTGACTATTGGGGTTCATGTTTATGGAAAAATCGCAGATTGATACACTTTTGAAAACACTATATTGACAGCGAGCTGTTAACTTGCTCGTGAGTTCACACAGCTATAAATCAGAGTTTTAATTATTTTTGCAAATATCAAACTAAATCCTGACAGATTATAATTTTAGCACAGGAAAGTTATTTTTCCCTCTGACATGTTAACGTTTCGTCTGATGAACCTAATACTCTTTGGGTGATTTTGGTTTGTGTTTTGCGTTGTGTGTGTGTGTGTGTTTTTTTTTTCTCCTCTGATGAGCATCAGTCATGGTTGACGATTTAACCAGAGTGTGAAGCACTGAAGTCCACTCAAGCGTGCTAAAACCTAACTAAGTCGGTTCTTTTGTTGTGGTTGCCGGTGAAACAATATTCCCAGCCAATCAGAGGGCTCGAAATGATTTATTTATGTCTCACGAAACTTGACTGGAGTCAAGAAACTACAAGAAAGAGAGCAGCTTATCGGACCATCCGCGTGGGTGAAATGAGGGAAAGTATAGAGCCCAAGTAGGATAACAGATAGCGCCAAAGTTTCCTCGGCGACCGAAAGCGGAACCAAGCATTCACGAATTTCGCACGTGTATGGTGTGACGTAAGGGCGATCGTAAACATGGCCGACGGTAATTTAGTGGGCTTCTCAAAATCATTAGCGGTCTCCGAAAAAAAGGACGCTTGGTACCTACGGTCGTAACTACCAGTCTATCGATATATCTTTAAAGGATTTTTTGGCGTTTTCATTTTTATTCGCCATGAAACCAAGACATATGAGTATCCGTGGCGTTGTGACGATGTTTGGTGGTTTGATTTTTGGCTTCACGGTGGCTTTGTTCCTGCGGCAAAATCTCTTGCCTGTCCAGTCCAGGCGATGCCATATGAACTTCGTGAGAGACGTGCGGCCCAAAACGATGGCTAAAGAGCTTAGCTCTCGGCATCTTATTTTCATTGGCGTCATGACGGCGGAAAAATTCCTAGACTCGCGAGCGAAAGCGGTGTATGATACTTGGGGCAGAAGCGTCCCAGGGAAGCTGGAATTTTTCTCCAGCGGCATGTCCCAAAAGAAGATGGAGCTTCCCGTGGTTAGTTTACCGGGAGTGGACGATTCGTACCCTCCTCAGAGAAAGTCCATGATGATGTTGAAGTACATGCACGACAACTACATCGAGCAGTTCGACTGGTTTATGCGTTCCGACGATGATGTTTACATTAGAACTGAGAAACTCGCGAGTTTCCTTCACTCCTTGAATAGTTCTCAAGACATTTACCTCGGCCAAGCTGGCACGGGAGCGAAGGACGAAAAGGGCTTATTAGGCCTAGGCTGGGGAGATAATTTCTGTATGGGTGGCCCTGGAGTGATAATGAGCCGGAGCGTTTTAAAGAAGGTTGTACCTCACATAGAATATTGTCTGAAAAATCTGCTCACGTCCCACGAAGACGTCGAAGTTGGACGATGTATCAAACGTTTTGTTGGGATTCCGTGCACTTGGTCTTTTGAGGTAGGTTTAGCCTTTTTAAAGTCATAACTATTCTATAATTAATTTTATATTTAAGTTCATGTCGCTATGGGTTTTTGGTATGTTGGTGATTATCGTTTGGTGCCTAGGAGTCGGTCACCAGGAGTCTGGATCAAACATCCCAATGTTATTTCAACTTATTGTTTTACAGTGTTATGAGTGTTCAATTGATGCAGGATGAGATTTGAATTGAATTATTGTCATTTTTAGGCTTTATTCCTGTAAACTGTTTTTTTTTTTCAGAATATTCATCTCATAAATTTGCTCTTTCAATATTTAACTTTCTCTGACAGATTATTCATTATTTTTATTCTTTCATATACACAGTTTTGTGCATTATAATTTGGTAGTCCATCCTAGCCATCTGAATTTTGTGAAAATGCTTAACGATCATCTGAAAATTGAACTGAAACGGTTAACTTACCTCTTCAAGGGCAAAGCTGAAATTGCATGTCAGGACTTCATCAGTAATAGATGGTAAAATCCCTGTTCCAATCTAGACTTGTCTGCATGGCCTATGTATGGGAACACCTCCCACCCAGCAAGTCTAGCCTGTTGTGAATTTGCAATATATCGGTTTAGATTTGGCTGAATTTTGAAAATGTGCCTTAAACCTTTCTGTGCCTTGTCATCTTCACTAAGTGAGTAGGAGAGAGAAGTGAAGATGGTTCCCTTCTTGCTTCAAAGTGGTGGGGTGGGGGGAAGGGTTTTTTGATAATTATTACGGGCCACACACTAGACAAATTGATCTGCTATGAGAACGTTTTTGTTTTCCTCACTTGAATATCCTGAGGAAATATTTTCTTACATTGAAGTTCAGCTCAAAGAGATTTGCTTGCCTGTGAATACCACTTGCCTTGCTTCTGAAATGTTAGCCTCTTTTGATGTTGAAGGTGGGCCCATTCGCCTTCCAATGAGCAGTCTTAATACACCACTGTTATTAGATGCGTACTGCATATATTTCATACAACTATCCTCTGTAATAATGGGACAAATACTACTTTGAGCTAGCAGAAGTTTGTAAGATGGCAGGATGGAAAGACGGTGCTATTGGGATAGTGGGGCTGTTAGGTACCCTCCCATGGGCACTTGAAAATGCCTTGTACTACTTAGGGTAAAATACCTATTCCTATGTGAGTTTACCTTGAAAGCTCTATCAAATGTCACAAATTTATTTTTGATATATCATTTTTCCAAGTTTACTCCAGTTGAACATCAATGATTTTAAGTTGTCATGAATGCTTGAGCAGTAATTCTTGCACAGGCCCTGCTCTGTATTACCTCAAAACAACAAGATAGCTATACTTTTTGCCCAAACTGAGGTGAAATCATTCTTTGTTTGAATGACTGGACTCTCTAGAATTTATAATATAGTGCAATGAAACGAGGTTAAGTTTGATCTTGTTGAATGTCCTAATACTCCATGGCACTAACTATGGCTAGCTGTAGCAATCATGTACAATCATTTTTTTCCATAAATGGTTAAACTTACTTGTACAAAACACTATTGCTAACAGATATTTCTTTTAAGTTTTATGGGATGAAAAATTTTGACAACTGGAAGGTTTTGTTGAGGCTGCAAACAAATAAACTTATGTTGATGAAAGCTGGAAAAACTTTGGTTCCATACAATAAAGTGAACTGTTTTTCCTTGGCTGGTTATGTGGGCAGAATATTTAAAAGCTAAAATTTTAATATTTTCCCAGCTGTTCACCTGCCAGCTTTCTCAAGAAATTGTTTATTTTTCTCCTTTTTGATATTGTTTTAGTGTGCTAGCAAAATGTAAATCACAGATAATGTCATTTGTGTGTTCCCTTTAAATGGGAACTTAAAATTTAAATGGAATGGTTTTTGGGAAGAGTCAATAGTTCTTGTTATGCCCTTCAATCATGGAAACAAGGTGATATTATTGAAAGCAAAGAATCTTTTCCTGTTTAAATGTTGAGAAAAATATTTGTTTAGCCAGATGTAATATTTTTGTTGAGGAATATAGGAATAAAATTTTACAATGTGTTAGGTGGTAATTTTGGTGCTGCAAAAAGGCTAAGCTTAATGTCCTGTTAAGTTAGTGGTTGAATTTTGTGAATTGACAAAAAACTCTTTGGAACAAGAAAAGACTGATTGTCATTATAGTCATATATATTTACATATGGACGTTTAATTATGCATTGTACCGTCCATAGAATTAATTTTGTGTTAGAAATCTATAAAATACATGGATTTGAATTAAGTAAATTGCCAACCTTTTTAAAATTGTCATTTTTTGAAATTTTCAGTTGCATTAACATTCAAAGTAGTCAAAGTATATGAGACTTATCACAAAGGACTTTATACTGGAAGTGATATTAAGGAAGTCTATCATCTTTCCATGAAATGATTGTCACCAAGATTTGAAAATATATTATGTTAACATAACAATACTTTAACATTAATCAAAAGGTCCTTCGATTCTTTATTTCAGCAAGCAACTCCACTGGACAATAATTGTAAAATCCTAAGGGAATAAAATGAAAAATGTCGCTATGAATTTGTACCTATTAAAAGGAAAACCTTCTCGTGATCACGAGGAATTTTAAGTTGTAAATTGTGTCATGCGTGATGAGTGCGTCACTACTGAGGGTTTAAAATTGTTAAAGGAGTGAATGCGAATGTTTATAAGTCAAGCTTTTCAAAAGGTTTCAAATGGACCAAAACAGAAGCTTAATTCCCTTTCTCAAGTTACAGTGTGGTACGTTCTAAGTACGCTTTGTCCTCAGTTTGTGCCAACAGCCTCGCAATATCATCAGATGCGTAGACTTACTTTTCAATAGCAGCTTTATCGAACTTTATCTGCTTGATCCAGTGGTCACGATATCACGTAACAATTCTTTCATCATCTCAGTGGTGCCGATTAAACAGCACCAGTTAAAAAAAACCCTGATTAAAGTGAAGCTTCGTGTTGCGATTCCGTTTTCGCCACTGGCCGTTCGTAAACCCACTTCAGGACTATATTAAGCCGAGTAATTTATTAGTTGTTGCTTTTCTGACGCTGTAATGTATATTCATTTCAGTTATGCATGGATGACCAATGTCGCGCTTGCATGGTTCAAACCCTACCTCGCGGCCCAGAAGTTTTCTTTCTGATTTTTGCAAAGCGGCTGGAAGCCAAAGAATGTGAAATTCTTTATAGGTGNAAAAAGTGAAGCCTTGGAACCGAATGGCTCACTGAGCTGCCGGAGCTTATCCCGGTTTCTGTAGCATGAAGCGGCTAGGAGTATTTCTACTCCCCCTAGATGGGATGCTAGCCCATCGCAGCTCCGGGGTGGAGAGAGGCACTATGAGAGTTAAGTGTCTTGCCCAAGAACATAACACAATGTCCCCGACCAGGGCTCGAACCCGGACCGCTCACTCCGGGAACGAGCGGACTAACTATGAGGCCACTGCGCCTCCCACTTGACAAGAAACAAGTGGGGTCACTCTCTATGAAGAACAGGACACATCTTCTACACACCAATTCTAAGAGACATAAGGACGCACGTAGTGCCACGATAAAGCCACTAGTGACCCGTTTATCTTAATGTATCTGATTTGTGAAGTAGCAGTGAACCATCGGATATCAGAAATGATTGAGAGTCTAAATATAAAAACAATTTTAATGCTCTTGAATTTGACTGTAGGGTGATCTGTCATGTGGTCCTCGCAAAATGACAAAATTTCACACCATGAGCTGTAAAAGTGGTGACAAACGCTTTTGAGCGATCAGTGTTTGCTTACTAAACGTTCCAAGTACAATGATTTGACTAAGGAATGGTTGGTATAAAAGGAAAGTGAAAACTATCGAGAGGTACTCGGCACTTAGGAGAAGTGATCCTAATGGGTTTGTTTCCCAAGAGGTTTAAAAGCATCTTGATGTTTTTTTTTTTTTTCGCTCCAAGATATCGTATCTCGAGCCCGGATCTCAAGTTATTTTCTATTCCGAGGAAAGAAAAATATTTGAGGATAAGACTTATTGTCAGATGCGAAAATGACGCGAGACCTGAAAATATCAAGGGGCAATGAAAAATATATCACCAAATACGAAAATATCTCGGAAAAAAATGTCCTTGAGATATACGTCCTTAGATGAATCCAGCCGGTTAACTCGGATCTCATCACCGGCCCGTCCGCTCCCCCGCCCCGTGGACCACTTTGTTCTTCCGAGCCCTGAATCTTTTGAAAGGATTCTTCCAGCCGTACGTTGGTTTAGGTCCATTCCTTGCTAACAATTGGTCTGAAAGTGGTAAGACAATCGTCAACGACTTTTCTCTCCGCAAGTTAAAGCAAGCGTAAAGAATGCATTGACTATCCACTGTTTACTATTGACACCTGACTGGCAACGAGTTTAAATCCCCAGATAAGAACCTTTCAAAATCGCTCTCTTGTTTGATTAGGTTTGTTTGCAAGTTAACATAAGGGAACATTTTTGTCATAACACAATCACTACCCAACGAAAATCACACCTTGATGAAGTATGTCCAAAAGATGCGGTTCCCCATTAAAAAGAAACTAGTAAAACGAAAACGGACTGTGTATGTAAAAACGTAAGTGACTATTGGGGTTCATGTTTATGGAAAAATCGCAGATTGATACACTTTTGAAAACACTATATTGACAGCGAGCTGTTAACTTGCTCGTGAGTTCACACAGCTATAAATCAGAGTTTTAATTATTTTTGCAAATATCAAACTAAATCCTGACAGATTATAATTTTAGCACAGGAAAGTTATTTTTCCCTCTGACATGTTAACGTTTCGTCTGATGAACCTAATACTCTTTGGGTGATTTTGGTTTGTGTTTTGCGTTGTGTGTGTGTGTGTGTTTTTTTTTTCTCCTCTGATGAGCATCAGTCATGGTTGACGATTTAACCAGAGTGTGAAGCACTGAAGTCCACTCAAGCGTGCTAAAACCTAACTAAGTCGGTTCTTTTGTTGTGGTTGCCGGTGAAACAATATTCCCAGCCAATCAGAGGGCTCGAAATGATTTATTTATGTCTCACGAAACTTGACTGGAGTCAAGAAACTACAAGAAAGAGAGCAGCTTATCGGACCATCCGCGTGGGTGAAATGAGGGAAAGTATAGAGCCCAAGTAGGATAACAGATAGCGCCAAAGTTTCCTCGGCGACCGAAAGCGGAACCAAGCATTCACGAATTTCGCACGTGTATGGTGTGACGTAAGGGCGATCGTAAACATGGCCGACGGTAATTTAGTGGGCTTCTCAAAATCATTAGCGGTCTCCGAAAAAAAGGACGCTTGGTACCTACGGTCGTAACTACCAGTCTATCGATATATCTTTAAAGGATTTTTTGGCGTTTTCATTTTTATTCGCCATGAAACCAAGACATATGAGTATCCGTGGCGTTGTGACGATGTTTGGTGGTTTGATTTTTGGCTTCACGGTGGCTTTGTTCCTGCGGCAAAATCTCTTGCCTGTCCAGTCCAGGCGATGCCATATGAACTTCGTGAGAGACGTGCGGCCCAAAACGATGGCTAAAGAGCTTAGCTCTCGGCATCTTATTTTCATTGGCGTCATGACGGCGGAAAAATTCCTAGACTCGCGAGCGAAAGCGGTGTATGATACTTGGGGCAGAAGCGTCCCAGGGAAGCTGGAATTTTTCTCCAGCGGCATGTCCCAAAAGAAGATGGAGCTTCCCGTGGTTAGTTTACCGGGAGTGGACGATTCGTACCCTCCTCAGAGAAAGTCCATGATGATGTTGAAGTACATGCACGACAACTACATCGAGCAGTTCGACTGGTTTATGCGTTCCGACGATGATGTTTACATTAGAACTGAGAAACTCGCGAGTTTCCTTCACTCCTTGAATAGTTCTCAAGACATTTACCTCGGCCAAGCTGGCACGGGAGCGAAGGACGAAAAGGGCTTATTAGGCCTAGGCTGGGGAGATAATTTCTGTATGGGTGGCCCTGGAGTGATAATGAGCCGGAGCGTTTTAAAGAAGGTTGTACCTCACATAGAATATTGTCTGAAAAATCTGCTCACGTCCCACGAAGACGTCGAAGTTGGACGATGTATCAAACGTTTTGTTGGGATTCCGTGCACTTGGTCTTTTGAGGTAGGTTTAGCCTTTTTAAAGTCATAACTATTCTATAATTAATTTTATATTTAAGTTCATGTCGCTATGGGTTTTTGGTATGTTGGTGATTATCGTTTGGTGCCTAGGAGTCGGTCACCAGGAGTCTGGATCAAACATCCCAATGTTATTTCAACTTATTGTTTTACAGTGTTATGAGTGTTCAATTGATGCAGGATGAGATTTGAATTGAATTATTGTCATTTTTAGGCTTTATTCCTGTAAACTGTTTTTTTTTTTCAGAATATTCATCTCATAAATTTGCTCTTTCAATATTTAACTTTCTCTGACAGATTATTCATTATTTTTATTCTTTCATATACACAGTTTTGTGCATTATAATTTGGTAGTCCATCCTAGCCATCTGAATTTTGTGAAAATGCTTAACGATCATCTGAAAATTGAACTGAAACGGTTAACTTACCTCTTCAAGGGCAAAGCTGAAATTGCATGTCAGGACTTCATCAGTAATAGATGGTAAAATCCCTGTTCCAATCTAGACTTGTCTGCATGGCCTATGTATGGGAACACCTCCCACCCAGCAAGTCTAGCCTGTTGTGAATTTGCAATATATCGGTTTAGATTTGGCTGAATTTTGAAAATGTGCCTTAAACCTTTCTGTGCCTTGTCATCTTCACTAAGTGAGTAGGAGAGAGAAGTGAAGATGGTTCCCTTCTTGCTTCTAAGTGGTGGGGTGGGGGGAAGGGTTTTTTGATAATTATTACGGGCCACACACTAGTCAAATTGATCTGCTATGAGAACGTTTTTGTTTTCCTCACTTGAATATCCTGAGGAAATATTTTCTTACATTGAAGTTCAGCTCAAAGAGATTTGCTTGCCTGTGAATACCACTTGCCTTGCTTCTGAAATGTTAGCCTCTTTTGATGTTGAAGGTGGGCCCATTCGCCTTCCAATGAGCAGTCTTAATACACCACTGTTATTAGATGCGTACTGCATATATTTCATACAACTATCCTCTGTAATAATGGGACAAATACTACTTTGAGCTAGCAGAAGTTTGTAAGATGGCAGGATGGAAAGACGGTGCTATTGGGATAGTGGGGCTGTTAGGTACCCTCCCATGGGCACTTGAAAATGCCTTGTACTACTTAGGGTAAAATACCTATTCCTATGTGAGTTTACCTTGAAAGCTCTATCAAATGTCACAAATTTATTTTTGATATATCATTTTTCCAAGTTTACTCCAGTTGAACATCAATGATTTTAAGTTGTCATGAATGCTTGAGCAGTAATTCTTGCACAGGCCCTGCTCTGTATTACCTCAAAACAACAAGATAGCTATACTTTTTGCCCAAACTGAGGTGAAATCATTCTTTGTTTGAATGACTGGACTCTCTAGAATTTATAATATAGTGCAATGAAACGAGGTTAAGTTTGATCTTGTTGAATGTCCTAATACTCCATGGCACTAACTATGGCTAGCTGTAGCAATCATGTACAATCATTTTTTTCCATAAATGGTTAAACTTACTTGTACAAAACACTATTGCTAACAGATATTTCTTTTAAGTTTTATGGGATGAAAAATTTTGACAACTGGAAGGTTTTGTTGAGGCTGCAAACAAATAAACTTATGTTGATGAAAGCTGGAAAAACTTTGGTTCCATACAATAAAGTGAACTGTTTTTCCTTGGCTGGTTATGTGGGCAGAATATTTAAAAGCTAAAATTTTAATATTTTCCCAGCTGTTCACCTGCCAGCTTTCTCAAGAAATTGTTTATTTTTCTCCTTTTTGATATTGTTTTAGTGTGCTAGCAAAATGTAAATCACAGATAATGTCATTTGTGTGTTCCCTTTAAATGGGAACTTAAAATTTAAATGGAATGGTTTTTGGGAAGAGTCAATAGTTCTTGTTATGCCCTTCAATCATGGAAACAAGGTGATATTATTGAAAGCAAAGAATCTTTTCCTGTTTAAATGTTGAGAAAAATATTTGTTTAGCCAGATGTAATATTTTTGTTGAGGAATATAGGAATAAAATTTTACAATGTGTTAGGTGGTAATTTTGGTGCTGCAAAAAGGCTAAGCTTAATGTCCTGTTAAGTTAGTGGTTGAATTTTGTGAATTGACAAAAAACTCTTTGGAACAAGAAAAGACTGATTGTCATTATAGTCATATATATTTACATATGGACGTTTAATTATGCATTGTACCATCCATAGAATTAATTTTGTGTTAGAAATCTATAAAATACATGGATTTGAATTAAGTAAATTGCCAACCTTTTTAAAATTGTCATTTTTTGAAATTTTCAGTTGCATTAACATTCAAAGTAGTCAAAGTATATGAGACTTATCACAAAGGACTTTATACTGGAAGTGATATTAAGGAAGTCTATCATCTTTCCATGAAATGATTGTCACCAAGATTTGAAAATATATTATGTTAACATAACAATACTTTAACATTAATCAAAAGGTCCTTCGATTCTTTATTTCAGCAAGCAACTCCACTGGACAATAATTGTAAAATCCTAAGGGAATAAAATGAAAAATGTCGCTATGAATTTGTACCTATTAAAAGGAAAACCTTCTCGTGATCACGAGGAATTTTAAGTTGTAAATTGTGTCATGCGTGATGAGTGCGTCACTACTGAGGGTTTAAAATTGTTAAAGGAGTGAATGCGAATGTTTATAAGTCAAGCTTTTCAAAAGGTTTCAAATGGACCAAAACAGAAGCTTAATTCCCTTTCTCAAGTTACAGTGTGGTACGTTCTAAGTACGCTTTGTCCTCAGTTTGTGCCAACAGCCTCGCAATATCATCAGATGCGTAGACTTACTTTTCAATAGCAGCTTTATCGAACTTTATCTGCTTGATCCAGTGGTCACGATATCACGTAACAATTCTTTCATCATCTCAGTGGTGCCGATTAAACAGCACCAGTTAAAAAAAACCCTGATTAAAGTGAAGCTTCGTGTTGCGATTCCGTTTTCGCCACTGGCCGTTCGTAAACCCACTTCAGGACTATATTAAGCCGAGTAATTTATTAGTTGTTGCTTTTCTGACGCTGTAATGTATATTCATTTCAGTTATGCATGGATGACCAATGTCGCGCTTGCATGGTTCAAACCCTACCTCGCGGCCCAGAAGTTTTCTTTCTGATTTTTGCAAAGCGGCTGGAAGCCAAAGAATGTGAAATTCTTTATAGGTGTAACGGCCACTCCTAGCACCATCCAATTAAATTGGTTTGTACCGTTTCCCCTACCCTACGGACCAGAAGTTTTTCTGATTTTTTCAACGCGAATGGCAAACGCGAGATTGTGAAAAAATAACCCCTTCTTAGAGATAAAAAGTTCGAATGCTGTTCTGATGAAGTTTGCCAAAGAATCATCATAAGTGTAACTGGGCCATTCCGCGCGCCATCCAATCAAATTGGTTTGTATCCACTTTCCAAACGTTGCAAAGCACGAATTGACACTAAGAAAGAAGCGCGGATTTCATTCACTCTCCATTCAGTGCACGTTCAGAAAAAGGGTTGACGATCGAAAAGTCGACTTTTAAGATCAGAAACGGCGACTAAACTTATTGTATGTTGTACTGCAAGGGTTTTGCTTAAATGGCAGGTTAATCCTGTGGAAACTTTAATGGTTGTGCTCTAATATGAACTTGCTTTCTTTTTTCATAGATGCAAGCTCTATTCTACCACAATCAGAGCAAAACACAAGCGTTCCACGGGAACCTGGACACCAAGTCTGTCCGTAAAGCCATCACTTTGCACCCGGTAAAACAGCCCTCCTACATGTACCGCCTCCAATCACACTTCATGACCATGCGCATTCAAGATCTTCAGCACCAAGCAATCAAACTCCAGAGAGTCCTCAAGAACATGGATCGACTGCTGAACGCTACTATAAGCTCACTTTCAACTGAGGAGAAAACAAACCTGCAGGGCGCGCGAGATTTTCATCATCAGCTCAGCGCAAAGTACTCCGAGCCGTGGGACATGTTCACCGCGCAGAAGTATTACTCCGAAGCTACGCTTCAACCTCCAGAGACGGGTATGCGAGACCCGTGGAAAGACGGGCTTAATCACGTGCTAGGGCAGACAATGGGACTGATAAATGAAGAGGCGAAGCGAGTTCTTCATCGCAGTCTCGAGTTCAAGAAACTCAATCATGGTTACATGCGAGTGCATCCACTTTACGGTGCTCAGTACGTCATGGACATGCTCATGAAGTATCACCGACACATAGGGCACAACCGCAGGCGCATGACCGTGCATGTACGTCATCATGCCTTCTTACAATTGCCCTTTGGTAACATGGTCTACCGCGCTGAGCCCCTTGTAAAAGAGGTCCCCACGGTGCATTTCATTCTTCCTTTGACAGGTCGCATTGGAACATTTCGCCGATTCATGGAGAATTTCGAGGACATTTGTCTCAAAAAACGCGAGAACGTTAAACTTCTCGTGGTTTATTTCCCTTCTGTCTCTCCTCCTCACGAACATAAAACTGTAATGAAGGCCTATGAGACCAAATACCCCGAAGCGGATTTGTTGTGGCTTGAAGCTATTGGAGACTTTTCACGGGGCCTGGCTCTTTCCCTTGGAGCAAATCAGTTTGAGAGGCAAGCTTTGCTGTTCTTTTGCGACGTCGATTTGGTTTTTAACGCCGAGTTCCTTTATCGGGCCCGTATGAACACGGTCCTCGGTCAGCAAGTTTATTATCCTATGGTCTTTAGTCAGTTCGATTCAGAGATAACGTACCCTAACCATACGGAACCCGACACCCAGTTTACGGTGAACAAGGACGCTGGTTTTTGGAGAGCTTATGCTTTTGGTATAGTCGCAGTTTATAATCACGATCTACGCTCTGCCGGGGGATTTGACACAACAATTCAAGGATGGGGACTGGAAGATGTGGACTTGTACGAAAAGTTTGTTAAACATGAGGAGATCAGTGTTTTCCGCGCGGCAGATCCTGGTCTTGTTCATGTTTATCATCCCGTAATCTGCGATCCTAAACTTGTGGATCGTCAATACGCGATGTGCCAAGGGTCAAAAGCCTCAGGTTTTGGCTCGGAGAAGTCGTTAGTCCGGCACATGTTATCAAAAGGCTATATAAAAAGATAATTGTAATATCCAGTCCTGATTAAGTCCATGGATTGGTCCAAATAATATTGGGGTAAGTCTACAGGTGTGAAGCTTGCAGTTTTGAACCTGTTCGTTTTGAAATCGGCTGTTCTTGCAGCAAAATAATTTATTACTGGCTCGTGTCCGGCTTTGGTTTGAGTCTTGATAAAATATTAGATCTAAAGCTAAAGAATTTTTTTTACGCGAAGTTTTGAATTATTTTTACTTACTGTTCAACAAGTGCCAATAGGTAGGAGAGATGTCCCCCAGTATAACACTGTCTACGTTTATTGCGTTTTCCTTGCGTTTTCTAATAATTTATCATCTCGTGATATGATCAAAATGTGATATGGTCTAAGGTTGTCTTTTTAGCTATTTATTACACTATATATATCAAACATGGGAGTTTTCACAATGGGTATAGCGTTCACTTTGATACTTAAATCACTCAAGCATATTGCATTCTACTCTGGTACCTTCCCCCAGAGGAGTTTGGGACGTGAATAGAGAGTTATTGTACCATTTCAGTCACATCACCTACTTTATATTATTGAGGTTGTCTCTAAATATCTACAGATTTTTATATTGTTATGAAAAAGGTTATTGTTCATTGTGGTAAGGTACAATAAAATAAACTGAAGTATTTACATTTGTCTTACAATGTTTGTCACAAGCTGGTATTACTAGGTACACTGCAAGCTTAACTGTTAATTTTGTTACGTTAGTATACTGATTTTGGGGAAGCGAAATCGAGATCAACAGTGATTACCATGAGAGGCGCCCAACGGAGGAGTTCTGGAAAGGTGCTAATCTTTTGCTGGCCGGGAAAGACTGATGACCCGTTGGAAACGGTTTTTTTAAATTCCGCTTATAAGCACCCCCACCCCCCACCCCCCAGGATATAAGCCCCTCCTTTTATAAGCCCATCCAAAACATGAAGTATCTAAATTGACATTTCACTTAACCAACGAAAGTTGAATCTGGTCTTTTAACCCTTTGAACACCAACTACGCATAT